GTCCAAGCCCGAATTAAGGAAAAAGCCCCACAAGCAATTTATGTTCACTGTCACGCACATCGCCTGAATTTGGTTTTAGTACAGACTGTTAGAAGCATCAGTGATGTTAACGCATTTTTTTCAACAGTCCAACAGCTGTACGTATTTTTATCTCAAAGCAATGTTCGTCATGAATTGTTCATGCAGATGCAAAAAAGAACAAAACCTTCAAATTCTCGAGCTTGAACGTCTAGTTGATGGATACTCGTTGGTCCTATTGGTACCGATCAGTTCACAAAATTAAATTACGCATAAAGGCAATAATACAAACTCTCCTATTAATTGAAAACCAGAACGATAGTGTAGCGGCTGCAGAAGCTTGTAAATATTAAACGTTGGAATCTTTTGCGCTATTTTGATCAGCATGGATACAGTTCTGTCAACTGTCCACTGTTTTTCACAAGAACTACAAAAAAGCAACATTGACTACGTGGCAGCAAGTGGTTTAATACAGGCTTGCAAAACCACATTTACAAAATTTCGTTCTGATGAGTCTTGGGAAGAAATAGTTAAACAGACTGACAAATTATGTGATATGATAGGTGTAGCACCTCAGGAAGAATAAAATTTACGTAATTCAACCGTCAGTTCAATTTATGATGAATTTCATGTTTTGTCATCAGTTGGATGGAGGTATCAAACCACAGAATGTTTACGTAAATCATTTAAAGTAGATATGTTTTTTGCAACATTGGACAAAATGTTAAATGAATTTGATAAGCGGTTTACAGAAAATATTGAAGTCTTGAGAGCTACTTCAGTTTTCAATCCATGCCTTGAAAAAACATTTCTAAATGAAAAACTTATATACATTCTAGCTGACCATTGCCAAACTGCAGGAATTGACAAACAAATTCTTGAATCAGAAATTAAAACAGCCAAAGCTCTTATAGACAATCAACCACAAAAAGCAAACAACATTGAATTGCTTCACGACATGTTGGCGGCAACACCGAACGCATTTGGAGAATTGTTGTCGTTAATTAAGATTGTTTTAACAATTCCTGTAGCAACAGCTTCAAATGAACGAATGTTTTCTACCCTCAGCCGAGTTAAAAATTATTTAAGAAGTAGTTGTGGTGATGAAAGACTAAGCGATCTGTTAGTTCTTTCATGTCTGACTGAAGACGCAAAAAACATAAATCTGTTGGAGGTGGTGACTGAATTTGCAAAAATGAAGCCTCGTAGATACCCAGATCCATTAATTTAAATATTTCAAACAATTGGACGCAGCAACGTACAGTTTTCATATTTTTTAATGTACTTATAACACTTAAACTTAACTATAATAACAATGTTTATAATCAGAATAACGTTTATAAATTATAAAAGAGTTAATTTTAAATTCTTTGTAAAAAGGATATTGTATATAGGATATT